ATCTCGAGATGAGAATAATGAAGGGCGAAAAACAGGCACAATTTCCAAGTTTACGTAACGGCATCTGACAACGAAAAGTAGACAAAAGTAACACGGTTTTTATAAAAGCATTTACGAAATCTTTTGTAACAACGCGCGTTAATTTAAATATATAACTCTAGAGTTTTTTTAGGAAACCTTTGCTTAACTTAAATATCGGGTTTATAAGGAATAACAAAGGAATTAAATTAGGTATCTATTTTAATAAGATTATTTTTAATAACACTACAGAGCTGCGAATGACTTTCAAAACTTAACAAAGGAGAAGTTCCAGTATTAAGCTTGTCTTTGCTTGTCTCGACGCGAAACAAGACAAGATGTATTTTGCCCTATTAATAATTTAATGAAGACATCTTACCATGCAATATTTTCTATATTGAATAGTAAGATGTCTTGTTCGTTGTTTTTTTTAATTGAAACGGTTAACATGTCAAATGCATTACCAAAGTCTAAATCACTGGTGAAGATTTTAAACCACGCAATTAAATTACTGCAACGATTCTTAGACGAGTAGATGACTGTGTGGCTCAGTTGCTTAGCTTGGCTTCGGCGCCGGGGGTCGTGGGATCGATTCCCACACGAAACAACTATTTGTTCACAATAAATAAATAAATAGAATACGTAATGCAGGCGGCAAGTCATAATAAACCAGCCAATACCATTAGGAAATTATTCGCATGTTGTGTCGACCCCACCTAGGTGGGATAGTGGTAGGGATGAAGATGAGAATCCATTCGTAGTATGATTACAGAATTCCAACATTTAATACAAAATACTATACAGATGAAACCAGGTAATGGCAGAATATATGGTTCAAAAGTTAGACATTCCTCTGTCCGTTAATGTCTATTTCTGCTCCTAGTTTTGTAAACCTCATGTTGACGCGGTCAGTCGTCACACACATAAACTCATGGCTTTCAGCAATACATTCTTCCAATTTGTTTTTATTCTAAGTGAGAAAAAGAGAACAATAAGTTAGGTAAGTGTCTCATTACAATAACGCGATCTATAACATCCAGTACCAATCATTGTTTGTTGTTTTTCTTTATTCATTTCGTACCACTTTCATAATAAGTGTCGTAATAGCTCGGCGTTAAAATCTTAAATTTACTTCAAAGAATTATTGGAGGGTGAAATATTTTAATGCTTGCGGTTCACCTGATGGTAAGTGATAACGGCCGCCTATGGACATTTGCAACACCCGTAGGGTTGCAGAGGCGCTGCCGCCTAGTAATAAAGGGGTCCCGGCTACCTCACGCACCAGAAGAAACGCAGAAGTATAATACTTCTACTTCACACCGGTATTCTGTGAGATCAACTTATTATGTATACGTGTTACTTCCCCGGGAGGAACTGTTCATTAGTGCTACAGCGTGCTATTGCGTAGCCTAACCATTTTTAATAGGTACCTCAGGATAGGTGTAGGGAAATTACTCGCTATCAATATTAACAAGTCGCTACTACAATTCAATTCTATTATTATAATTTAATCTAGCGACCTACCCCCGGCTTCGCACGGGTGCAATATATCAAATATATAAAATTCTCGTGTCACGGTGTTTGTAATTGAACTCCTCCGAAACGGCTCGACCGATTTTCGTGAAATTTTGTGTGCATATCGGAAAGGGTGGAGAATCGGACAACATCTATTTTTCATTCCCCTAAATGTTAAGGGTGGTCCACCCCAAACATTTTTTTCTACCCTACAAATAATTTATATTGCAAAACAACGTTTGCCGGGTCAGCTAGTTATACATATAAACCACTCTATATACTATGAATCACTCTATTTAGTAAAAAAAACCGCAGTAATTTTAAGCATACATAAGGACTGACAGACAACAGGACGACTTTGTTTTATATGTGATGAAACGTCTCTAACTTCGATGAATTTTAACGTTAACAAGAGGTCGATAGAAAATTTTGAGTTATCGATGATTTTACAAAAATGTCAGTGGCGTGCCGTTAGTTTAAATGCCAGGAAAATGTTTAATACAATGTGAGTAATTGAAGCCATCCGATATAAATATTCAGAAATATAAGATAGAGGCGAAGAAAGGAATCGCTTGTACCTGGGGACCGCGGTTGGGCTTATTCTGCGGAGAATTTGTTAATGTTTAATGGCATAAGAAAATACTCGATATAACTCTCCACCTTGTGTCTATTTGGGTTAAAGTTCTTTTTCGTCTGCACTAATCGAGCGAATTCATTATTTATACAATTCGAACGTCCATCGTTACCCGTGGTTGGAGCAATTCTGTATCGCAACAACTGCAAAATTAAACACAATGTGTAAATACGCGCGGGATTTTTTACACTATTCTTTATAATCGTGCTGTAGTTATAGTACTTTTTTTCTATTAAAAAAGCTTAAATACGAACACGTGTTTCGCCTGTCTGACTGGCATGGACCTCCAATACAAATTACTAAGCGAAACAGATGTATAAACAACTCTATTTCACTAGTCAATAGTCAATTTAAAATAAACATTGCACAATTACCACTTAAAGTAATTAAAATATGACAAAGAAACTAACTTATGCCATCTCTCAAGCTCATTTTCTTTAGAATAAATTCAAGTAATAAAAAAACCAAACGTTATTTATATATTTTCACAGGGGAGAAACAGAAACAATGGTGCGCCACAACTCTTGACATAGTTCTTTTGCCTCAATCGAATCCATTCTCGCCCTTTTATTGTTTCCACTGTAGACTCTAGCCTTGTGGGGCATGTTTGTAAACATGTCTCAATACTTCATAAAGTTAAAGTAAAAGCCAAAAGTTCCAGCCTGGTATATGTCCCACTGCTTGGCAAAGGTCTCCTCTGTTCTGCTCTCCTTTGTATTACGGCATAGACCTCCCACGCGGCCCCACTGCGGATTGGCGGAAATCACATATGTGCAAGTTTCCTCACCGATATTTTGCTTCACCTTAGAGCACGTGATAAGTCAGAACTCAAAATTAATAGTTTCATTGGTGCCGTGATCGAACTCAGGTTGCTAGAGTGCATTCAATCTCCGAGCGCCCGGACAATGAGCTATCACGGCTCTTTAACCTCCAATACTTCATATCAAATCTCCTTCATTTAAATTTTATCTCTTTCTGAACTTGTTCAGTATTTAATAAAAAAATAAACAGATTGTTTCATTAACAGTCTATTTTGCCTCATACACAACATTGTGTAAGCTTTTCACAACACTTTTGAACTAATTTTAATGTAGGTATAGCAATTAATTTGCCAAGCATAAATTTGTAACGTTTTCTGCCAAAAGTCTCGCATATATTTCTTCTTTTGATAAGTACAGTTATTTGTGAAATGGAACGAAATTTTTTTAAATAAGTGCAAAGTAATTAACGCTTTTGCCAAAAACATATTTTGTTACAAACAGCAGTAAACTCTATTTATGTAAACTGGTTCATAACATTTTATTTTTCCAGAGGTCAGTCTGACAATTTGTTAAGTGCAGAGTGCAGAGTCCCCGTACAACGAAATTTTTGACGGCCTAACGACGCGGCTGGTGACAAGAGGGCTGGTTCTATTCTCGCTCAAAGGTTAAGCATAACAGCAATCAGCGAGGAAATGCAGCTAGAGTCCATGACACCAAACCGCATTGTCTAGTTCTATTAGATAATATGTAATTTAGATAGATTTAGATGTTGCAAATCAATATTCGAATATCCAATGGTAAATAAATTGTAAATAATGGTTTTATTGCATATCAGATTTATTTTATCCAATTTGGTAAAAATTTTCTCTATTTTCCATTTATATTCTGTTATGTAGCCTACCCCAATTTATTATCTTACCATAAAAATATAACTAATTTATTGGTAACAATTTGCCGCACAAAATCGTGATCTGTCATGTGGAAATACGTGCTAATTATAATTAATAAAGGTCTTTCCTTTTGTTCAATACCGAAGAATATCAGTCTAACTGAAAAAAGTGTAATATTAACTTACTAAATAACCCTAAATAAATTCTTAATTGATATGATCCATTCTTTATAAAAAAGTAGCACTTTGAGATAATAAGCTTTAACATGATTGAATCCTTATTTTTATGAAATATAGGTAATATTTATGTGTTAGTTCAGCCGCTAAATTTTAAAATTATCTAATTAAGAATAATGTACGTTCATTTAATTCTACATCTTTAATTTAAACAAATTGATGATCTATAGATGGGTCATCATTTAATCTTTTTAAGAAACTAGCTGGCCTGCGCAAATTTGTCTGGCCCAAATCAACTGGGAACGTACGGTACAACCATTTGTACTTTTAACATAGCGCCATCTATTGGCTACTTACTAAATCCGGCTGATAAATTTAGCTTACACTGCCATCTGTTAGAATCTTATGGAACTGACCGATAATTATAACTCTGTTTCATGTATTAAATAATTTGCAATAAAAAATATTTAACTATAAATTGAGATATAAACATATATATGAGACATATCTCTCAAGTTGGATCAAACTAAACAGTGTGTAAAATTTGATTAAAATTGGTTCAGTTATTTAGGAGTTCATCGCGGACAAACATTTTGACACGAAATTTTTACATGTATAAAGAAAGATTTCTGAACGAATGTTTTATTTTTATCAGAAAACTTTACTTTATTCTAGCTCTCCATTTTTCATCAATAGCGAAAAACATGAATTTTAATCAAAATAGCGTTTGAATCATTGAAATTGATAAAGAATTATGGAAGTTATAGCTTACCGAAAAAAACACCTTTGACCAACAATATAAAGATATTATACATGTTACCTATTTTTAATTACGCCCATAATAAGATGGTGGTGGAGTTGCCTGTGTTAACTGCTATCTATTCCTATTATTAACTGCATCAGCGAACTAGATAACCCCCTCCAAACTAACAACCCTAAATAAGTCGACGCTCGATGGGTCGATGCGAGAATGGTTTAGACTCACTTTTTTTTTTATTCATAATTAGTTGTCGGATTTAAGTGGTGTGTACAGAACAACGTCTGTCGGGTGCTGCTAGCATTAAATGAAAAAGAAGGGTCTTTCCGTCCGTCCCGTGACCATGAACGCTGAAAAACTTACGAAAACGTCGCGAACTGTAAAATCCAAACAGAAACGCAACAAAATCGATTAAACAGTTCTGTTCAACATACTTATAGTAGTGGTGGGTGGTGGTGCGGAAAAATCCGTGAAGAAGATGCGTTCAACATACTCACCGCAGTTCGCAGTGGTGGGCGGTGGTGGTGACCTACCTTCATGTGCGGCAGCGAAAGCAGCCGGCGTATCTCGTGCGCCACGTGCGCCGCGGGGGCGGGGCCGCCGGGGGCGGGGGGCGCCGCCGCCCGCACGCGCGCCGTCGCCTCCAACGCCTGCGCGAGACAGAGACAGCTGCTGACGGCGCGCGAGACAGAGATAGCGCGACGGCGCTCTGTTATAAACGCGCCGTTGCTGCTCTACCGCGGCCTCGCAGAACACCCGCGTGAAGTGGACGTATTTTATACTTTCATGTCTCGATAAAAAAATACTCATTGAACTATTATTTGTCTATATTAAACATAAAAACTATTCTTTGTCTCCATAAACAAATTATCTCAGCCCACATAAAAAAAAACTGTTCTTTTCCTGCATAAAAAAATACTATTTAGCTCCATAAAGAAACCACTATTTGCCTCTACAATAAGCTACTATTTGCTCACATTAAAACAACTATTCTTTACCTCCATAAAAAAACTACTCAGCCTCCGTAAAAACTACTCTTTGCCTCCAAAAAAAAAAAAAACTCTTTGCCTCCATAAAAAAAAATTACCTGTCGGCTCCGAGACCTCGCCTCAGCGGCGGGTGCTCGTCCACTGCTCACGACCACCGTGCACGCAATCCTATCGTACACCTGCATGGACACATGGCATGTTAAAAGCCTATATCGGTCACTTAAGTTTTTGACTTTAAATCTTTTTTTTTTTTTTTTTTTTTTTTTTTTTTATGCGAAAAGTTGTCAAACGAGCAGACGGTTCACCTGATGTTAAGTGAATACCGCCGCCCATGTACATCTGCCACACCGGAGGGTTACAGATGCGTTGACAACCTTTTGAAAATTGGGCTCCGGCTACCTCACTCACCAGACGAAACGCGAAAGTATTTGTCACGTACACTTTACGCTGGTCTTCTGTGAGGTCGTGGTGCTTACCCGGACGGGCCTGCCCATTCGTGCAACAGCCGAGGCTGCTGCGTGGCCCTACCACCGTAAATCTCTCTCAAACTATCTCTTCATTTGACATAAAATCCCGTATAAACTTATTGGTAATAATCTAAACTCTAAAACAATTGCGTCAATCGAGCTATTTACGAATACTATTTACTGCTATTACGGTTACATATGCGGTCGTCTTTATATCTTACTAGGGACCCGCCCGGCTTCGCACGGGTGCAATGTTTTATACATATAAAACCTTCCTCTTGAATCACTCTATTTAGTTTTTATTTTATTTTACTGAGCAACAAAATCCACAGCCTTTGTTGTTAACATGTATATCACATATGCTTAACTTACAACCAAGAAAGGATTTGCATTTTATAGTTAGAATATATATATAAAATAATAATGGAGCAGTTTATGAGTAAACAATGTTTTAAAAAAATTGTAACAAAGTAAATATCTAAAATAAAAAATCTTGTAATCTAATGTATCTTGTAAAAAAACGCATCAAGATCCATTGCTTATTTTTAAAGATCTAAGCATACATAGGGACAGACAGACAGCGGGACGACTTTGTTTTATAATGTGTAGTGATAATTTAGTTACTAGCAATTTGAAAAAGGTCAACACCTCACCTCTAGCAGCGCCCTGAGCTGTAGATCGTCGAGGACGCTGTGGAATAGATCGGGATCCATGAAGAGGGGGCCGTCTTGCAGTACGGCGACGTCGTCCAACGACTCCACGACTAGGTTGACGGCTATGACAAAAAGACGGTCATTTATCAAATAAAAGTAAAGTAAAGTAACAGCCTGTACATATCCCACTGCTGGGCAAAGGCCTCCTCTGTACAGAGGGTATCAGGGCATAGTTCACCACGCGGCCCCACTGCGGATTGTAGGAATTCACATATCTTCACTTTTCAAATACTATTACTAATAATTTTTGCATTAATATACTATTACTATATGTGGGAAAGAAATGCCAACCGAGTGATCGGCGTAAATATGACACAAGGAGCATTCGCGTTCTCGTGCGAAGGTAACAATCGAAGCGAGATGGAAATATGAATGTAGTGGGGGTGGGGGAAAAAACAAACATAAAAATAAACATGAAGTAAGAGAAGAGGTACAATGGAGACAAAAGAGGAGTTCTATTCGCGCACCGACCGCATTTCTTCGAGAGCGCAGTAATAGAATGAACAATCAGAGCGAGACAGAAACATGGACGGAGTAGTAACGCAAAGAAGACAGAAGAGGAGTTCGTTCGCGCACTGACTTCGGAAGTCAAGGAATAATTGAAAGGAGACATGTAAGGGAACGATCAGAGCGAGACGGACCAATGTAAGGAATGGTAGCGTAAAGGAGACATAAGAGGAATTTGATTCGCGCACCGACCGTATTCCTTCGAGAGCGCAGGAATAGAATGAACAATCAGAGCGAGACAGAAACATGGACGGAGTAGTAACGCAAAGGAGACAGAAGAGGAGTTAGATTCGCGCACCGACCGTATTCCTTCGAGAGCGCAGGAATAGAATGAACAATCAGAGCGAGACAGAAACATGGACGGAGTAGTAAACGCAAAGGAGACAGAAGAGGAGTTAGATTCGCGCACCGACCGTATTCCTTCGAGAGCGCAGGAATAGAATGAACAATCAGAGCGAGACAGAAACATGGACGGAGTAGTAAGGCAAAGAGACAGAAGAGGAGTTAGATTCGCGCACCGACCGTATTCCTTCGAGAGCGCAGGAATAGAATGAACAATCAGAGCGAGACAGAAACATGGACGGAGTAGTAACGCAAAGGAGACAGAAGAGGAGTTAGATTCGCGCACCGACCGTATTCCTTCGAGAGCGCAGGAATAGAATGAACAATCAGAGCGAGACAGAAACATGGACGGAGTAGTAACGCAAAGGAGACAGAAGAGGAGTTAGATTCGCGCACCGACCGTATTCCTTCGAGAGCGCAGGAATAGAATGAACAATCAGAGCGAGACAGAAACATGGACCGAGTAGTAACGCAAATAAGACAGAAGAGGAGTTAGATTCGCGCACCGACCGTATTCCTTCGAGAGCGCAGGAATAGAATGAATAATCAGAGCGAGACAGAAACATGGACGGAGTAGTAACGCAAAGGAGACAGAAGAGGAGTTTGATTCGCGCACCGACCGTATTCCTTCGAGAGCGCGGGAATAGAATGAACAATCAGAGCGAGACAGAAGCATGCGGGGGTTGGTTGCGCAAAGGAGACAGAAGATCTGGTCCCGCTCACCGGCCGCGTTCGCCTCCTCGAGCAGCGCGTGCCGCCGCGGCGGCGCCTCCTCCTCCTCGTCGTCGTCGACGGCCGCCGCGGCGAGCGTGGCGGCGCGCAGCCGCCGGCGCCCGTTGAACTTCTTCAGCTCCTCGACGGTGCTGGCCAGGTGGATGCGGTTCTGCTTGTCGCGGTCCTGCGCCGGAACAGACCCTTGCTTCCTTACTAATATCCTTACCAATCCTTACTAATATTATAAAAGGCGAAAGTTTGTATGTATGGACGGATGTTTATTACTGTGTTATAAAAATATGACCGGAGTCGAGAACGTGACATGAGGAAAGGGAACAATGTCACGAGATAGAAAGATTAACGGAGTGGGGGCGCAAATGTGACAGAGCATAAATGGATGCGGATCTTTCTGCTTGCCACAGGACTACGCCGGAATAGAGGATGAGGCGCCTCGTAAACGTGAAGGTACCAGTAAGAAGGTACCGGTCCATTCAGATAACAGTTCAGACAACTATAGTATGGTTATTGCAATTCAGGAGCGCGGTCAGCACTTAATTGTGATAAAAACTTATATGTACGTCATTTGAAAATGTGCGTGCGTGCAATGCATAGCGATGTACAGCTAGCAAAAAAGAAATGTTTTCCATGTTCTTTCTTAAAAGGAACCCAGATGACAGGAGTAAGATCACATCGTTCCAACTTACTCTTATCCATCGATGATTGAGGACTTCTTGGATGTTGATGCGCTGCGTGTGGTCAACGGTGAGCATCCGCTGCACCAAGTCCTTGGCCGAATCGCTGATGTCATCCCAGAGCGGTGCATCGAACTAAAAAAAATACAATTTCAAATATAGAATATCAAAGATAGCGACAAATATGGAGTACAATACTTTCGCGATTCGTCTGGTGAGTGAGGTGGCCGGAGCCCAATTTTCAAAAGGTTGTCAACGCATCAGGAACCTTCGGGTGTAGTAGATGTCCATATGCGGCGGTATTTACTTAACATCAGGTGAACTGCTCGCTTGGCAACTTGTCACATATAAAAAAATAAGGAATAAAATATTTTATAAATCTGTCTTTTTACAGAATAACAAGCTAAATCGTTTTCAATTTAAAAAAAATATTAAAAGCTCACCCGCAACCGCCCCCGGCATATGGCCTCAAAAAGCCTCTCCCTGGAACAGAAATAGAAACCATTCACTTACCTGAATAATATACGATAAGACTAATGGCATAAGTCACCGAATGGTTTTATAATTAATGTGGTTATGTAAATAAGTATTTAAAGGTGACCTATTCTTGACAATAAATGTTTATCTTCTCTTTTTCTTACATTGTAAAAACGCGTCTTAAAATTATATATTTTTTTACACAAATAAAAAATTAATCAGACGGTGTCCTTATTGTTTTATGGCTTCATATTTTGCCCATATAATTATTTAACAAAATAATTTATATAAATCTATATAAATCCTTATTTTAATGAAACACTAATGTCATTAAATGAGTATGCATTATCATACACTAAATTAAAAAAATAATTTTGTTTTCAAACTACTTCAAAAAAAGGCGCTCCCAATGTTTGTACGCTTAGATCTTTTAAATTACGCACCGGATTTTAATTAATTTTTCAGTAATAGATAGAGTGATTCAAGCGGAAGGTTTATATGTAGTATACATGCATATTATAACATAATAGAGAAAAGTCGAGAAATTCAATATCTACATTTCACCCGTGCGTAGCCACGACAAAAAAACGAGTGTGCTTCAGACCACACGACTGAAATAAAGCTTTTTTAGCTCCATCTATATGAATCTCTATGAATTTACAATTTTGTTCACTTTAAACTTAAAATATTTAATGTATTTTATTATATATGTTTGTATATATTAAACAAAATATTAATTTATAAAACTTTTCAAGAACGAAATGAAATTAAGATACAATCAAGAAATCACCGTTCGCGTCACATCACACTTTTCGATTTACCAGCTTACTCCCCAAGTCACGCGTGCGTAAAGAAGTTTTACTTAAAAAAAAAAAAGCGCAAGTATAAACTGAAACTCTGACCTGGTGCCGGTGAAGGGCAGATAGCCGACCAGCAGCACGTGGAGGAGTATCCCGGCGGCCCACACGTCCACCGGCTTCCCGTACAGCTGGCTCGACACCACTTCGGGCGCCATGTAGTGGGGCGTGCCGATACGGCCTGCGGGGTAGCGTCAGCACATCAAACGAACGGCGGCGGAGAAAACACGAGGGAAAAACAATTCATCATCATCCTCCTGCCCTTATTCCATGTAGGTGCGGGCGGCACAACGTGTGAATCGTATTGTAAGCGGCTTTGGCTACTGACGACTTAATTGGCGTAATTGGTATTGACCCCGTCTCTTGCGCCAGAGTGTTGGTTCGATCCCGACTCTTGGAAGGATATTGTGTGATGGGACAGTGTTTTTCTAGTGTTTGGGTTTATATATATATATATATATATATATTTATTTAAAAAAGAAAAGTACCTAGCACCCTTAGCTTAACTTATTTTGGGACTAAATAACGTTGTGTAAAAATGTCACGAAATATTTATTTATTAATGTAAATTACGACTGGCTGACTGTCTGACGTCGATCCCCTTGAGCCATGAGCCTACCCTGGAACATAATCGGCGAGTCACCAAAGTACTTGTCCCACGTGGGAATCGAACCCACCAACCTTGACGCCGAAGACATTGGCATAGCAACGGTGTCACCGAGTCATCGAGAAGTAAAAACAGATAATAATATGAAAAAACGCAGGACAGCCTTCGCCTAAAGTAGGGAATGCGGTAGAAACGAAACTGAAAATTAAACTTTTTATGCCTTATAAATAAACTGAAAAACTTAACTTTAAGTCTTATAAATAAGAGGAACTTTTTTTAACAATTTTAATTCTTATGACAATATTTATCAGTTCTCAAATAATTTCAATACTCGGATTAAATCGACGATAAGGACGATTCCGTCTCATTCTAAGAAAAATAAAGACATATAATATATTAAAATACGGGTGAAGGTAATAAAAACCAGGTGAAATACAAGTTTCGTATTGTTACTATCTAGAGATAATAAATCGTTTAATAAATTATAAAATATGATATTTGTAAGCTTGTCGCTGCTAGCTGGCTATGCTTCTGATGTTACAAAAAAAAAATACTGTTCGCATTAAATGTGTCATAAAATAATATACGGAATTTCACATTTTGGTATTGAAATAAAATTGTAACATAAGTTTTAATACCCTTTAAAAAAAGAGAAGTTAAAAAAATTTCACACAAATAAATAAGCATAAACATGTTCAGTAGATTCTGTGTGCCTGCTATTATCCTATGCGCTATGATTATTAAACGTAAAATATTAATATACAAAAGCACAAAGTGATGGTTACAGCAGTACAAACAAATTATTTAGTAGCTGGAACTCAAAAATAATTGTGACTTCAATACTGTGTATTGCTTATAAGCCTGATACACATATTATGTTCATGGTGGTGCCTTAAATAAAAGCACATGCCTAAATTAAATACACTTATCCTTTTAATATTGGGATTTTTTACATTCTGTTCATTTATATGGAACATCATATCAGCATTAGATGTTCTAAGCGAAGGTTCAAATTAGACAAGAATTTTTATATATATTTTTTTTTATTGAAACCAATATGTTAAAGATCAATGTTTTATATGAAGAATATTAAACCAACTCACACTCCTTAGCGACAATATCATACTAGAACACCTTACAATTAAAATAATTTACTGTTTGATTGTGTGTGAGTTAGTTCCATTTACTATACTGTTAACACAAACACCATAGGGAATGAGCATTAATATAAATAATAAGAATGTGACATAATGAGAATGTGCTGATGCAGTTCATTGGTTAACTGACATAGGTGTCTTTTTAAAGTGATCATATTCTATTTAAGTGTCCGTTGCAAAAGACATTGTGGATATAACTCAGTGATGCATGAGTGAAGACGCATGTGCCAATGGAATTTGCACGTAATGTCCATGCAGTTAGGGCACAACTGGCATTGTTTGCAATGTCTTACCATACTCATCGGATTTGAGATATGCTTGGCCCATAGGACCCACTAGTGGTCGATTGTCCATCACCAGTTCTGTACAACACAATCCTAAATCAATTTGAAACTAAAAAATATGAGTAAATAATGAAAACTTAATTATAAATTAATATTGTTACACTTTACGTAATTATGACAATAAAATGATTTTACTGACTATTAAATAATGCACTATTTTCTTAATACAATCCTAGAGTCTTGAAGAGTTTTTTTTTTAATTCAACAATATGATAAATGTATCATGCTATTACTATAAAACACTTTATACATCTTAGCTTTACACTGCAGAACCATACAGAGAGTTAAAATAATTAGTTACATCAAATAAGTTTGACCTAAACAATTTTTTTCATACCATTTAGATTCAAGCAAATGTATATAACATAAATTTCTTGAATCAAATCAAATCAACTAACTCAAATATCAAACAAATGGAAATGTTTGTTTGGAAACTAAAAATCAGATCTTCAATAAAAAAAAAAATTAAAACTGGCCAGATGCACAAACTATCAAGCTGCTGTACATAAACGCTAACCATGATGAGAAATTGTAAAGCACTGGCCGGTTGGTAGTACAAAAAAAACAAGAAAACACAGCAATGATATCGGTACCTGGGGGGGCGCGGTGGGCGGCGGGCGCGGGCAGCTGGGCGGCAACACCGAAACCGCCGAGCTTGACGGGCGCGCAGTTATCGCGACCGGCGAGTAACACGCAGTGCGGCCGTACATCTCGATGTACTATGTCGTTCTCATGGCAGTAGCGCAGTGCCTCGAGAATCTGGCGCATGTAATGGCTGGGAGGAGACAAAGTTATTATTTAAGCTATCAGCTATAGTCTTTACTATGGAACACAAACTACCATTGCATAACACTGACTCTTAATGGTCATAGTAACAAGGTGTTTCTGAGATACGTCGAATATCATGGACACCTGATTAAAAACTTGATTGGTAGTTCTAACTAAGGGTGTTCGCGTATTTTTTGTATGCAAAGTTAGATAAGACGCAACACATGTTGTCCCGTGATGATGACATGCGACATGTGGGGCCTTACACCGGGCACAAATATAAGACATTGACTTTTACACTGAGATTTAACTAAGACAATATAATTTTATAAAAATCAATAACTTTTTAAAGAATAACCAAAAAAAATCTATTTGTAAACAATATTTTTAAAAGCAAAACGTATGCATGTTTATTAATATTTCCCTATCTTATAATATTTTGGCTAATTAACTATTGAAAAATGTTTTTCTTAATATTGCTTATATATACAATGCTTGTGATGAAATACTAGATTCACATCTGCATATAATAATGCTTACCAGGCAACAGCTTCACTATAAACAAATCCAGCAGTTGCCCTTCTCACAACTTCAAAGCAAAGATCAGAGCCATCCATGCTGAAATAGAAAAACATTTTTTTTATACTCTGCTTTATTTATGCAAATATAAAATGTATTGCATTTTAAACATTTTAATTTCCCTCTCTTATTATAACTCAATATGCTTTAGAAATATTTTGTCCTTTCTCATTTTATAAGAAACAATTGTTTTACAAATCACTTATATTGCACAATTATTTATATATAAAGTGTAAATGTAGTGTACTTACTATTCAAAGACCATGTATAACATTCCCTCTGAGCTGTATGTTTCTAAGAGTTCTACAATATGTGGGTGTTTTAGCATATGGCATATTGTAGCTTCTCGTTTCAAATCTGCAAAATTAAAAAAAAACATTCTTATACAAGTATTACAGGAACTACATTTGTTAATCACATTTAGCAACTATAAATATAAGTTAATCAATCAGAAATTAGAAACTTAGGAACATAAATTAAATATAATTGGTTTCTATACTATTTCAAAATTTTTACTTTTGTACAAACAATACAAATGTAACCCTTTACCTGCAGTGCTAAGCCCAGGACTTGCAGTAAAACGAGCTACATCAACAATTTTTACTGCAAATTGTTGTCCCGTCTGGCGATGTACACAGCGTCTGACAAGGCTGAATGGCCCCCTGAAAGAATTTAGGAAAACTAATGTTAATAATATTTGTTACACTATAATAAGGATTTAAAGCATAAACAAAAGCATATATTGAAAGGATTGAAAAGGCCCATAAGCTACAAATTCTATGAAATCCAATAGGTATAAAATATATATGAAAGAAAACTAATATAGCTTAGTAAGCATTAACTAATTTTTTTTAGTTAATGCTTATTAAGCTTTTTAATGCTTTTTTAGTTAAAGCATTAAAAAAAATCCTTCGCTTTTGTTTTTCACTTTACATTTAAAGTATTGTGTTGCAGACAATACAATATACAACATATATCAATTTATAAAACATTAATTTATGATAAAATATATCAATATGAGCAATGGTATACCCTAAATGAGAACTGATGAGAGGCTTTTTTATTTTTTTCCGGAAACTTAAGAAAATGTGACTTAAAAAAATATCTCATGGACATTACATTCTTCATGCATAACATGACTATGAAAATGTATTCAAGACCTGTAAGTGTTAATAATAATTCTGTACTCACTTGCCAATAATTTCGCACAATTCATACACATCATCGAATAACACTTCGTCCTCAGCCATTTTTGAAATAAACTCAATTTACTACGTTTCAGAAAAACTGATAAAATATCATTTTCAAAAAGCTTCTTCAAAATACGAAGGTTACGCCCCGAGAGGAAAATCCGTAATTTAAAACGTTTTAATATGTGTTAAGAATATTTAATAATACAGACAGTAAAAAAATTTCTTAATTGATATATGAACAATAAGGAAATGTGCAATTGTGTGCAATTTGTGCATATTTAATTGAAGAAAATTCGCGACAATTCGCTCATTTTTCACAGCTGAGAAAACACTCGACTGAAGATTGTCAAAATATTTAATAGTATTATTGAACTTTATACTTAAAAATATTAAAATGCATTCAAGATTTTTAAAGGTTCACAAATGTTAAAATATATAATTTAATATTATCATTATTTTCTATTTATTTTTGACATTTATAGTACTATGTCTAGGGTTGCAAATATTCGAATCGAATTGAAGTAGAAACCTGAGTTGCCAGAACATAATCTAAAACAATTATTGTGTAGGAATTAAAAATAAATATATGTATATTTATTATTATATATTTGTACAGTTACAAATACAGTTTAAGGTGTACTCGAAGGATATAAATGTTTCATCTAAACGTCTTGACCGCAGTGACGGGTTTACAAATTTGCCGCTCCTAATGACTTCTACACCCTAGTCCGCAATCATATTAATTACATCTACAAATTATAATTTGTGCTCTATCGTAATATTTTTTTCGTTTTATATTTTTTTGTCATTTAGTAATATGCTTGTGCTCTATCACCTTTATTGCATCAGGTTTTTCCTCGTTATTAGATGATTTTAAACGAGGATTTCGTTGTGTCTTGTTAAAATATTCTGTCAACAATCCGGTTAACTAATGACGACAGTAAAATGAGTCAAACGTATTATCTTTTCTTTATTTCTGTAAGACGAAAATTTTTGGGCCAAATTTACCGCACCTTTAACCTACCAGTAAATTCGCCACTGCTTGACCTTTGCTTTGATTGATGATTTGTGAAAACATCTTTACCAACCTAACTACCTTTCTAGGCGAATTTTTTTTTTCTAGGCTTTCGATGCTCATTAATTTTTTTTTATTAATTACACACATTCTCTAACTGCTCTCTTTTTAAGCCTCTTTGCCACCACATAAGTTACCTTATTAGAGGTTACTTATGTTACTAGTACTACCTTAGTTTTTCTACTTTTATGTTAGAGGATAATTCATTTCTGGAATAGATAACAATATTTATACAGAATTGCGCGTAATCCTTAGAGCGTTTCGCGTTTATATCGAATGTTAGAATCTCTAAAATGGCTATTCAATCAATACAAGACGCGTAAGGTTCTAAGATATATAGTTAATAAGTATATAAAATGATAACTGGTAATACAGACATGGATCTTGGGCTCCAGGATACGTAGGGAACTCCTGAAAATCAATCATAAAATTAAAGAAGAGCTTAATAATTGAAGTCGATTTTTTTTTCTAAAACTAGTTAATAGTGTAAAGATAGTCCTTGCCAAGTTTCATAAGTCCTTTAGGACGTAGCCCATCTACAGTGTCGAAGAGTAGCGCCGGTGCCCGGGTCGCGCCTTCTGCCAACTAACGCGAGATTACAAAAACTTCCAACAGAATATTTTGTTTACCTGATTGGGTTTAAAAAAAGTAAAAAGTATCAGCCTATATGTATAGGAGGGGCATTGCTGAGCAAAGGCCTCCTCTGCACAGAGGGTATTAGGGCATAGTTCACCACGCGGCCCCACTGCGGATTGGCGGACTTCACATATCTTCGAAAGATTTTTTTTATTATTATTACGAAAATATGCAGGTTTCCTCAAGATGTATTCCTTCACCGCTAAGCTCGTGATAATTCAGCACTTGAAATTAACAATTTTATTGGTGCTGGCACCGGGGATCGAACTCATGTTGCTCGAGTATATGAGTTAAAGCCAAGCGCCCGGTCACTGAGCTATCACGGCAAGAGATTGAGTTTAATAAACTTAAAATTACAATACAACAACGTTACTATGCTTCGATTACTTATAAATGCTTATAAAAAAGATTTTAGGTACTTATGCTTTTAAAATAGGTTCATTAATGACTCGAACCAGCGAACCTAAAATAAAATAAATAAATAGATAAGAATAAGAAGACCCAGTTTCCTAATATTAGATTCCATCTATGTCTTCTACAAGCTAAAATTATCAAGTACGTCAATTTCCAGTATACGTTTTTGGACACTATAGTATCCATATATATACATACATATACACCTTATTCCACCCATGAGAAGCTGGGACGAGCCGCTAGTTGGTTATAAAAACACAAATTTATTTGATGACATTTTTTGGATGTAGTAATAGGCTTTTACTGTACTAGCGCGCTTATTATCAACGGCTGCAGCGCCAATTACCATCAGGTGGGATGGCAGTCGCTACTTGCCAATAATCATAAAAAAATATTAACGTTAAACAAAATCCATAATTAAAAAAAAATTTTTCAAACAAACTAATTAAGTAAAAAAGAAACAAAATTTGTATCACCTATACAACTCGCGCCACAGCGTCGCATTACAAGCTTCTCCTTCTAACAGTATGTTTTGTCTCTTTTAAATTCATTCAACCCATTCATATGCTTTGTGACTTTTACAAATGAACTTTACGTTACAGTTTTATACGTAAGGGTGTTCTAAAATTGTTTGTTTTGGAAAATTTAATAACTGGGTTAATATTGATGTTTAAAGAATGTAAATGTTTAATACAATTTTAAAAAGTTATCCTCTATATGTGTGTTCATTTATTGTCGCGGTGGTAACGACACGCTGTATAAAAAAAGGTGTGTATACATGTATACGTGTGTGTTACTGTAAACGTTTATAATATTAAATGTCAGTTATAGTTAATTCTTTAATTGCTTGTTTTTTATCTAGTTATAAGTAAAATATGACATTTACTAATTTTTAATTATTTCTCTTGGTGCATAACTAATATAACATTTGAATTGAAAAAATGAATGTAGGCATTAGAATATTAGCATATTTTTAACTCCTTTCATTTCATTAAATCGTAATCTTAATTTTGCGGGATAATAGAGGGGCACAAACATTTAATAATGCACAAAAATGGGTTTACAGAAAAAAAACACCAAAATATTTTATATATAAATATATTTTCATTATTATACAATAAAACATTGAATTAAACGTCATTACTATACTGAGAATGTAAAGTACCTACATATCTAAAAATAAGACTCAATATTATTAACTAAGAAAATATAATTGACATTTTATGGTTAACGTGAAATCTACGTATTTATAAATACATATTTTTTTATAATATCATAAATACCTAATAAGTTTATGTATTTTAGATTTCATTTCTTTCACGTTATAACATTTATTTGGCTCTACCAAGTCGGAGATTCTGTTGGTATTATCATTAAAGTTAAAACAGGCGGATTGCAGTCTGATGTACGGTCATGGATTACATCTCATAACAGTACTGTTCACTTTCCTCTTAAAATATTCACAATCTGGAACAGTTATGACTATGTCGGAATCATCCATTTTAGCATTCCGTGCTTTATTTACTCTCACCAGGTAACTACAGTTGTATTCTAATTCATAAATATCAAAACTGGTTTCCTGAAAAAACACGTTCCATTTAGTTCATTAAATTAAAGTGTAGCATGCAAGATATATTCATTCATCGTGTCAATATAGCCGTCACCCATGGCCATCAGCAATACGCATAGTGGAGTTGTAGAGGCGATGTCACCTTTTAAAAATGTGATCGCCGGTTATGATTCACCAGGCGAAACGCAAAAGTATTACGTCCACTTCAATTCGGTCTTCTGTGAGGCCGTAACCCCGGACGGTACTGTTCGTTCGTGCTAGCAGACTGCTGCGTTGCCCTACCATAATAAACTACTAGTATACACGTACCAGTTAACTATACAACTAGTGTACTCTAAGTACTGTTGCAAATATCCATGGGCGGCGGTTATCACTTAACATCAGGTGAACCGCCAGCTCGTTTGCCACTTTTTCACATAAAAAAAAGAAAAAGTATTAAACGACGCCAATATTTTTAACCATTAATCAGACAATGCTGACAGAAAATGACCAGTTGGAGATCCAGTTGCACCATTATCCTTTTATATTGAATAATACGCCATTTAATTATAACTTTAAAGAATATGCACTGACGTCCTACAAGTTTCGAAATAAAATGGTCGATGTACCATTGACGGAATAAACTTAATATGTTCTAGGGACTTATTTTTATCCCTTACTTTCACCGTCTCGGATGACAAAATTCTGCGTTTAGTAATGGCCGCCCACGGACAATTGCAACACCCTTAGTGTTACAAATGGCCCAGGCTACCTCACTCTCCAGACGAAACGCAGAAGTCTAACACTTCTACTTTACGCCGGTCTTCTATGAGGACGTGGTGCTTACCCGGACGGACCTGCCCATTCGTGCAACAGTGTTACGTGACCACCGTTGACTACTAAATAAGCCTAGTTTTATTTATTCGTTACCATGCTATCAACGCCATCAACTACAATAATGTTCTAGTATATCATATGCCTCTTGGCAGGACTAACTAAAACATACAAAAGATCTGTAGAGCAGTGATGAATTTAATAGCTTATAAAGATATTTTAAAAACTTATTTATTCTTTTATAGGAAGTTTGGCCAAGATTTAATCAAAATATAATAGCTTACATCAAATAAACTTAAAATAAGACATTAACATTTGAAACGTTTTAATTTTATGCGATTAATTTCATAACGAACATTGTGAACAGGAATCAATGAAGACGTAGAATTAACACATAAATTTATATCATCGCTTTGTGTTTTAAATTATTTTTGTGAATATTAATTAACGCTAGTATACATACCTCTGTAATGGCCAATAAATCTTTATTCTGTTTTTGGGGTTTTTGGCACTTTATTGTTTTCCAATGGACGAAGAATCTGTAAAAAA